CCATTCCCAGCCCCCATTCCCCCATCCCCCCATCCCGCTGTCCCCGGTCCGTCGCTCCCGCGGTCTCCGGTGCCCGCAGCTCCTGGACGGGCGGCGCCGCACGGGCGGGCGCCTGGAGGTCCGGGTGCGGGTCCGGGAGCCGCTCGGGGCGCGGCGGCAGCTGGAGCCGCGCTGCGAGCGCTGGCTGGTGCTGGAACCGGCGCCCGAGGCCACGGTGAGTGCCGGGAGACCCCGGGAGACCCCGGGAGCACCCCGGGAGCCGCCGGGAGCACCCCGGGAGACCCCGGGAACCCACCGGGAACCCACCGGGAGCACCCCGGGAACCCACCGGGAACTCACTGGGAACCGCCGGGAGCACCCCGGGAACCGCCGGGAACCCACTGGGAGCACCCCAGGAACCGCCGGGAGCACCCCGGGAACCCACTGGGAGCCGCCGGGAGCACCCCGGGAACCCACCGGGAGCACCCCGGGAACCCACCGGGAGCACCCCGGGAACCGCCGGGAACCCGCCGGGAGCACCCCGGGAACCCACCGGGATCAGCTGGGAGCACCCCGGGAACTGCCGGGAACAGCCGGGAGCACCCCGGGAACCCCCGGGAGCAGCTGGGAGCCACCAGGAACCCACCGGGATCAGCTGGGAGCCCACCGGGAGCCGCTGGGATGGCGGGGAACCCGGCGGGAATCTGTGGGATTGGCGGGGAAGCACCGGGAGCCCGCGGGATCGGCCGGGAATGCCCCGGGAACCGCTGGGAACCCCCCGGGAACCACCGGGAACCGCTGGGAACCCCCCGGGAACCACTGGGAGCCCACCGGGAACCGCTGGGAACCCCCCGGGAACCACCGGGGATCAGCGGGGAACCACCGGGATTGGTCGGGAACTCCCCCCGCGGGAAGCCACCGGGACCCCGCGGGGTGGGCTGGGATCCCCCGGGACCCCCCGGACCATCCCGGGGGTCTCAGCCCGGGCCGACCCCGCGCTCTCCCGCTCAGCTCGCCGTCCCCAAACCGAGCGCGGCTGCCCCGAAGGACGGGAACAACCGGTGAGGAGCGGGCCCGGGGCACACCGGCAGTTCCGGGGGGGGGGGGTAATCCCTACCGGGGGGGTGGGAATTGGGGGGCGCGACCCCCCCGGGACCCCTCGCAGCGATCCCAAATCCCTTTTCCCAGACCCCTCCCGACCCTCCCCAGCCTCAACCTGCTGCACTTCGACCGCGAGCGCCTGGAGCGGAAGGTGAGGAGGGGGCGTTTTTGGGGGGGGGAGCCCAGGGGACCCCCCCCGTGGACCCCCCCTGACCCCCCGGTTTGTCGCCCCCTCCCCAGATGGCGCCGTTCGGCCGCGCGGGGCGCCCGGTGCCCCCCGAGCTGCGGCAGCAGCACCAGGAGCTGCAGCGGCGCATCCAGGGGCTGGGGGCGCGGCTGCAGGGGGGCGACCCCCACTTCCGCACGGGTGAGGGGGGCGTGAGCCCCAAAATCCGCTTTTTTTTGTTTTTTTTTTTCCTTTTTCCCTGCCGTTTTACGGCGGTTTTCCCTCCCCCCTTGCAGAGTACGCCGAGCACCTGCAGCGGCACCTGCGGCTCTACACGGAAGCCGCGCGGCGCCTCGGCACGCAGGGGGAGAGGGTGGGTGAGACCCCAGCCCAGCCAAGCCCCCCGAGCCGGGGGAACCCCCCCAGGCCCCCCGGGACACCCCCAGATTCTGAGGGTTCCGCCCCAAAAATCCTGGAGCAGCCCCGCTCCCTCCTGGACACCCCCAAATCCTGGTGGTCCCACCCCCCAAAAAAAATCCTGGACCACCCCCAGACCCTCCTGGACACCCCCAAATCCTGGGGGTTCCACCCCAAAAATCCCAAATCCTGGTG